TAGACTTGATCTTTTTCTGCATATAAATCATTATACAAAATTGTTTCCTGATCGGTGCATAATTGGTACAACTCCCATATAAGGACCATTTCTGAAAATTAATTAAACGCACATTTTATACATAGGTATAAAATTTTTTCTGAATCGGTCCATATTTGGTAATAGCTCCTATATAAGGTCCACTTCAAAAAATCCCTTAAACGCACATATTTCAATATCAAATATAGATATCTTGATAAAATATGTTTTATGTACATATGAATCACTCTGCGAAACTTATACGGATAGGCCCTTAATTGCTCATAGCTCCTATATAAAGTCCACTTGCCATAATCACCTAAACGCACATATTGCATTGATTAATAAAGCTATTGGAGTAATATTAGACTTGATCTTTTTCTGCATATAAATCATTATACGAAATTGTTTCCTGATCGGTGCATAATTGGTCACAACTCCCATATAAGGACCATTTCTGAAAATTACGTAAACGCACTTTTTATACATAGGTATAAAATTTGACATAAATGTGTATTTTGTATATATGTATATAAATCATTATACGGAATTTTTTCCGGACCGGTCCATAATTTGTCTTAGCTCTTATATAAAGTTAACTTCTGAAAATCACTTAATACCACTTAATTCGTTATTAAATTATTATATCCAGATACATTAAATTCGACATGAGTATGTTCTGTGTATAGATAAATCATTCTAAATTTTTCTGGACCTAATCAAAATTAGTTCGACAAAAATTTTGGCAAGTTATCTAAAAATTAGATAGGTAGATGGGTTTCAATAAAAAGTAGCATGCTGGTGGAGGGTATTTAAGATTCGGCATAGCCGAATATAGCACTCTAACTTGTTTTTTTTTGCGATCGGTCCTTAATTGGTTATACAACTCCCGAAAATCACTTAAACGCACATAACACATTACTAAATTAAGATATCCATATAAAATTTGGCACAAGTATTGCTCTTATATACAGAAATATTACTGAAAAGGTTTTTCCGATCTTAATTGGCCATAGCTATCATACAAGGTCCCCTCCCGAAAATAACTTAAACACACATAACTCATTACTAAATTACTAAATCCATATAAAATTTGGTATAAGTATCGCTCTTATATACAGAAATGTTACTGTGGAATTTTTTCCGATCGGTCTGTAATTGGTCATATCTCCCATACTAGGTCCTGCCCCGAAAATCACTTTAAACGTATTTAACTAGTTGCATTAGTGCCGGTTCACTCAGGCAAACTTTTTGTGGGAAACTTTTGATTTTTGTGTGTGAGAGAAAGGGAAAGAAATATCAGTCATCTATTGCTCTCACACATAAAATCAAAAGTTTCCCAAAAAAAAGTTGCCCTGTGTGAACCGACACTTATCAATTTGTGTAGAACAATATTATTTATATTTTGAATTTCCTTAAATCTTTCACACACATGCATACATGCAAATTATTAAATATAAATATAAAAGAAAATGGCGTTTGTAATGTTTAATAAATCTTGCAATTGTAACAGATTTTTGGGGTTTTCTATTTAAGACATGAGAAAACTTATTTCTATATTCAGCCGAATATAGCACTCTAACTTGTTTTGGATCATTTAAATAGGTTCAGCATCTTTAATTGACTGAAACAACAACAAAATGCATTTTTCATGAAACTTGTTTAGTTTTATAAACATTTTTACAAGGTTATGTAAAAGATTTACTGCCGGTTTCTCTATTGTAAAACAGGCAATAGATATTGTAAAACAGGCAGTTAGTAAGGAACATATCCGCCGTTACTTGATATGACTTCGAAAATTCGAGGAGTTATAAAGATTCTTAAGTAATGGCAAGGAAATTTCGGTCTAAGCCTTTTTAGTTCCTTCAATTTAGGCTTCTTTTGTGTCATACTGTCTGCCCGACCTATACACTTTACGAGAAAGAATATCCGAAACATTTTCAATAATGAATAGGTAAGAAGATTATGAAGGCCACTCCAAAATTTTTACATTCTATCATTGAATCCATCTTTTTACAGCACTAACGGTAAGGATCAGAACATTATATTTTTGAAACATCCAAGGCAAGGGTTCAGAGATATCAAAAAATGTGAAATAAGCTGTTTCCAGTATGGCATTACAATTATTACAATTCTTGCTATATAAAATAAATTGAAGCTCACATGTTTCCTAATTCTAAAGTGCCCTCCACTACATCCTACATCATCCACAGCTATGCAGACGACTCAGGTAGAGCTCTTCCTTTCAAAAATCATAAAAATAATGATTATATCGATCTGGACCTTCTAAATTAAACTTTTTTCATCCGAAAAAACAAGATGTTGATATTGCTTTTTATAACCATGTGTTCATGTGCAAAATGAAGAGTTTTTTTTACGAGTGGCAATTGAAGTGGCTTTTATAAATTGTTTAATATTGTTAAAGCCTTGGCCTTTCTTACAATACGTTTTACTGCAGCTAGGCTGGCTGTAAAACCCACTTTTTATTAAATTTTTGCTGCAGAATCACTTGATTTGGAGGCAGATTTAATGAATTCTCTTCTGTCCGCTTTTGTTATGAGTCCATATGTACGTTCATTAATGTTTTCTTAATATTCAGACCGTTTTCTTATAAAATTGCGAACAAAATTCTGGAGCCATTTTTGGAGCCAAATTCCTGTGATTTTGGACAGTTTCCAAAAACGCTAACATTTCGCCATTTTATTATTTAGTTAATGGCTTACCGCGGCCTTTTTTTAAATATATGTCTATATTCACAAACACTAGAATATGAATGGATTTTTCCCACTGCCAGCAGTAAACTGATTTTATTCTGAATGAACTTAATGAAGTGAGCCAAAAAAATATAGCTAAAAAACGTAGTATGTTAGAAAAAAAATCAGCAATTAGGTATTGTGCTAATTTTTGTCTTACTAGTGATACTTTAGACATCATGTTATTATTTAAAATTATAAAACTACTAATTAGTCCTTTACTTTTTGCAAATAATTTATTTGAATGTGAACAAAATAGTGAACCTATTTAAGTGAGCGGAAGTGTACTATATTTCCCCTGGCGGAATGTTCAAACGTATTTGAACATGGTTTGATATCTTATTTTGGTGCATGAGTTTAGTCATAAAAACTATTCGATTAGTTCACTTGAGTTACAAATAAATATTTATCGCTTAGTTTTTTATGACAACCTTTAGTAATTATAAGAATGCTAGTGCTAAGATGAATAATAACTCTCTTGTTTATGTAACGCATAGACATAATGAGATACATATAATTAGAAATAGAGCATATTCTTATCACTAGCGCACTTGAAAACCCACCCTTAGATGGGAATATTAAATTGATAAGATTGAATGCATAAAAAGAGTGCATGAGGTCTTATCTTAGTTCTAAGTTAGTTTTAAGATTTTGTTTTATAGTTCTTAAGTTTTTAAAGCTGTGATACACAGTTGTCAGATCTTACAATGTTGTCAGTAAAATGTGCAGAAAATGTTAAACAAACTTGTGAACTTACAATTTTTCTTTTTCAGAAAAAGCATTACTGAAAATGTTGCAAGATAAAATTTGTAAGTTGACACTGTTGTTAGGCATTTTCTGCACATTTTACTGCCAACGTTGTAAGATCTAACAACCGTGTATACATAGCTTTAGTTTTATAAATAAATTTAGTGTTCATCAAGATTCGTACAACCACTCGCGGTCTTTTAACATTCAGAGTGTTTAACGAGAATCGGACGAGCGCCACTCGCCACTCTAAACATTCAACAGTAAATTTTGTATTTTTATTTATTACAATTTTTACAACCATACACCTTATTACTACATGAAAAATATTTAAAATTTCAGAAATGAAATACGTAGGCAATAATGTTCTATTACGATAGAAAAATTTCTTTTCATTTTAGACATTTTTGATTTTTGGACCATGAATTTTCTATGTATACATTAAATTCAAAAAAGTCATTCAAGAAGATTAAAATATCTACTGGGCGTATTTTACATTTTGTTTAACTATTTTCACCTGTTGTGCATTTCGCTTAAAATATATGGTGATAGTTATGACCCATTACTTTCAACTGAGCGATGTAAATAAATTAATTTATTTAAAACAATGAATTAAGTTTGAAAGCTTTATTGGAAAACATATTTAGTTTTATTAAATTAAATTGTTATTAGTATTTATAAGTTTAAGGTTTGAAACCAATCATCGCATAGTACATAGTGGTAATTCTCAATGATTAGTTTTACGAGGTAACCTCTGGAACGTGTAAAACTGGTTATGTGTTGCTACGGCTTATTTTTGATACTAAATACACTTTAACATTAAAATATTTTTCTGTACAAAATAAGGATACTTTTATGAATTGAATTTAAAAAATATGACTTTGCGCGAAAAATAAACAACGGTCCTATGAGGTAAATTAAGAGGTATGTACATTTAGTAAACGCTAATTACATATAAATATACGAAAGTAAAGAAATTAATTGTATGTTAAAAATCCAATATAAATTTATAATACACTTACTTACAAATACATACTTATAATGAAAGATGAATGTTTAATGCATATTCAGAATTGTCCTTAAAATTAAGAGTAAAATTAAAAACTACGCGTATTAGTTCTGCTTAAGAAGTATTGTTGAAACTAATACACATTTAAATTATGAATGTATTTTTATGAATCTCTTTTATTCTAGGGAATTATAAATATGTTTATGCAAGAATTAAGCACAATATGTATATGAAAGTCAGTAATAGACATGCTTTACCTATTTTATATGGTTAATATTATGTATGCATATAAACTGTCTGTTGTTTGTTTCGTGTTTAAAATTTTTTAGTGTTCATATTAATATTAGATCAATTGTTAATTTAAATATTTTTTTCATTATAAATTGTAAACAGTATGTAAAACAAAGCCTTTCTAAGATATACATACGTAAAAATATTTAGTGTAATTATAATTTTATGTTAAATTATTTTTAACTTTAAACGCCATTAAATTAACTAGGGTTTTTAATCCTTATTTATTTGGTCCAGGTGGAAAAGGATTTATCACAGCTACAGCAGCCGCTTGTTGACTGGCGAGAACAGCAGCTGAAATATAAACAAAATAAAAATTCTCTATTACAAAATGTTCAACATTTTCTCAAGTTAAGCTTATTTTTTATTGACAAATTAGTATTTGAAGAAAAATTTGCGGTTTTTGTTTTAATGCGGAGATATGAAACTTACGCCCTTGAGAATTTGTTTTTTTCTGAAACCCAAAAGGGCACAAGTTACATTAAAAAATAGTAAGTTACAAAAACCGATTTTAACTAAATTAAAATCGGTTTTTGTTGGTGAAATAGGCCGAAACATGGAAAACATACACAGAAAAAATTATCAGTAGTTTATTTTCAATTAACATGTTTTTCTCTTTCTTTAATTTTAAATTAAGCAATTTTTTATTTGTCTTAATTATCTCGTTGTTTAAAACCTAAGTTTACAAATTTGATTAAATTTTTAATTGATTCAATTAGTTTTTTAATTGATTGAAAAAAATTTTCTGGCCAACTTTTCTATTTTAGTTTTTTTTTTTAAATATTTTATTTTGATTTCTTATGCTAACAATGTTTATAATTCTTAAATAGTCAATACGATTTTAGGTATATAATATTCAAGTTTCCTGATAATTTATAAAACACTTTATATGTTCAAATTTGATAATAAAGTGATATTTTTTGTAAATGCTCAACGCATTGTTAAAGGTCAAGCATTCCTTTAACATTGTGAGTAATCAAATAATAATTTGATTGTTTTAATCATCAACTTAATTGGTTTTTAATACATTTTCTACCAAACAAACTAATTCATTTGATTAATAAATTAATAAAAATTAGATTTTATTTTTATTAAATATTTAATTTATACAATTAATGAATTAATCAATTTAAAATTTTGTCTCAATTATTGATATTAATTGTTCTGATTAATTCGTTATTTGGAAAAAAAAGTATTTTTTTTTAATTTTTTTACAAATTTGATAATTGATATCATCATTTTGGTGATAGGTGCAAAACTTGCTTGATACAATTATTTTGATAATTGAAACATATTTTTAGTTTTTTCTGTGTAAGGCTTCTTTGTTTTCATAAAGATTTTCGGAATTTTTTTTTAATCTAAAGCTGTTAAAAAAATCTATAAGTCGCAAGGTTTCGCTAAAAGTGCCATTTTTTTTTTATTTGATACCAACTTATAACATTTAACAATTTCGAAGTTAAAAACTCAAAAGAATTTTAAAATTTTCATAAATTTTAAGGTATTTTTAGAACATAATCTTTTAGAATTTCGAAGATAGCGACGTTGATTTTGATTGCAGGAGTGTAAAATTTAGCAGAAACATGTATTTTAATACGGTGCATCATAATCAATCAAAAAGCCGATTTTGATTTTTTTGTAACTTAGGATTTCATATGACGATATGTATGTATAATAGACCGACTCACAAAAAATGGTGCTTGAGTAACCCTCCTCAAAATATTCGCTGTTATGTAATACACTAATACCCCGATTTGCGTCGCTAATAGGGCCTGAAGAAACGCGACGCAAACCGAAACGACGCAAAACGAAGCACGATTTTCCGTGCATTGGTATGATTTTCATTTAATTGGTTCCGAAATTCATAATTTTAGCTGAAAAAATAGATTTTTCAATAAAAAATATTTCTTTAAATGGTTTTTATTATTGTAAAAATATAACAATTCATTGGAGTAACGCAAAAAAAAAAAACATAACAAAAATATTAAAATTAAAAATAAGGAATTCTTAGAATAAAATCAAAAGTTTTATCGTATTTTTTAACTTTAGTCATCTAAATCGACCAAATCAACTGGGGGATGTGTCAATCTTGCTGATTTTGTTATGTACTTGTCTAACGATTGTTGGATTGTAACGCTTTTTTTTCAAATAAATTTCTTTATAACAATTTATAACTTCGGTCACATTTCTAGACACTTTTAAACTGCGGTCTTCGTCCGGATCATTGTTTTCAAAAATGTCCATTGCTTGTGATATCAGCTGCATCGCTTCAGAAAATTTAGCAGCAGTAAGCTTTTTTTCTTCTGCTTCGACCTGAAGCGGAAGTATTTGATTGTCCAGCGTATTGTTACGTTGAATTGTAGTCAAACTTTGGTTACAATTTAACTCTGGGTCGTATAATAGGAGATCATTAATATCTTGTTCTTCCATTCCATAAAAATTTTCATTTCTAGCTGATTCTGCAAGTTCTTTACATGTGTGTGGAACATCATTAATATCTTCCATATCTTTGAGAACACATTCGGGCCATAATTGACGCCAAGTTCCGTTCATGCACGATTCTTTTACTTCTTTCCAAGATAGGTTTATATTTTCAATAGCCATCAGGATATTGTAATTCTTCCAAAACTCTTTCATGGATGGCATGTTATCTCCGTCAGTTGCTTTTAGAAGTTGATGAAATTCGACGCAGATAGTATGACTTGAAGTTGGATATAACACCTTGATCCATTGGTTGTATCACAGATGTTGTATTTGGGGGCATAAAAATAACATTAATATTTTCCGAATAATCGTCTGAAAAAACAGGATGACCTGGTGCATTGTCAACTAACAAGAGCATTTTAAACTCAATATTTTTTGAAGAACAATAAGCCTTTAGCTCGGGAGCAGCACAATTGTTCATCCAATCTCTAAATAAGGATGTAGTCATCCATGCTTTTTTATTTGCACGCCAATGAACAGAAAGCTCGCTCTTTTTAGCACTTTTAAAAGCTCTCGGGTTTTGAGAGTGGCAAATTAAAAATGGCTTAAATTTAAAATCTCCCGCTGCATTTCCTCCCAAAAGAAGTGTAAGTCTATCTTTGCTAGATTTATAACCTGGCGAAGATTTTTCGGATTTAGAAATGTACGTTCTTCCTGGCAAACGTTTCCAAAAAAGTCCCGTTTCATCAGCGTTTAAAACTTGTTGTGCAGAATACCCACCTTCTTCAATAATTGCTTTTAATTCAAGTTAGTTAGTTTAGCAGATTCTCCTTTTAATGCAATGCTATGCAAATTTCCACGGATTTTAAAACGGTCAAACCAACCTCTGCTTGCATGAAATTCTTCCGCACTTTCGGCACTTGATAATGGATAATCTTCTTTCAGATCTTCAAATAAAGTTAGTGCTTTCTTTTGAATTACCATTTAACTTAATGGCATTCTTCGCTGATTTTGATCTTCTATCCAAATGTTAAGAAGTGACTCCATTTTTTCCATTAAAGAACTTCTCATTTTGGTAACCTGTTTATGTTGTAACGATGATGCGGTTTCAGCAAATTTTTTAATTTTATCAGCGTCTCTGGAACAAATGGATTTTATTGTAGAAGGGGCTAGTCCAAGGTTTCTTCCAATATCAACAGCCCTTTCTCCTGATTTAAAACGTTTTAAAATGTCAAGCTTTTGTTCTAAGCATAATTGCTTTCTTTTTTGACTGATTGCTGCAAAATATTTAGATCAACTTCACTTCAGCAAATGTAATTTGTAACTACTACAACTTGCTACCATCAGACAACATAAATACATATCTATGTATGTATTAACATTAGACTTAAACGGGAAATCCCCTTTTTCTGTTTGAGCTTTGTACAAACATTTTCATATTAACGACGCAAGCTGAAACATAAACGACGCAACTTCGAAGACACAGAAATTTTAAAAGGACACAACTTCGAATTTGCACTAGATTTAAACGGGAAATCCCCTTTTTCTGTTTTAGCTTTGTACAAACATTTTCGTATTAACGACGCAAATCGAAGCACTAACGACGCAACTTCAAAACATGTGACGCAAACTGAAACAAAAACGACGCAACTTCGAAATCACAGAAATTTTAAAGAGACGCAACTTCGAAGCAGACGCAGAACGAGGCGACGCAAACCGGGGTATTAGTGTATAATTTTACCCAAAATATTTTGGGTTTAGTGTTGTCCGTTCGTGAGCTGGACAGTTTACAAGGAAATATCGTATTTACCCAGCTTCAAAAATTCTTTGTTTTGTTTTATGATAGTTCCCAAAATATTTCTAGTCTATCGATGGCCGTTCGTGAGCTGTACCGGTTACAAAAAAGTCCCTTTTTAGTTATTTTTTTATATTTTCCAGTTTTTTTTTAAACAAAATATACAATATGAGGTATCATTTGAAAGGTTTTTTGAAGCCACGTCTAGTAGTACGCAAAATTTGCAAAATTGTTCAAACATTTTGTTTTAATTAGTGAAAAACCTAACAATTTTAAATATTTTGAAATATGACAATTATGAGCAAACGGTTATTTATGATTAATACATTATTGGGCCCCTTTCAAACGATAACCCATATTGGATATTTTGTTTCAAAACAAAAGAAAAATTATTTCAAAATACCTTTTTTAAGTTAATCCAGCTCACGAACGGTCATCGCTAGATTTAAAGTATTTTGGGAATCATCATAAAACAAAGCAAGGTAAATTTTGAGAGGAGTAACAAAAACACGTTTTTGCTTTCAATACAGAGTGAGTCGGTCTAATATATAATATTAAATTTTAAAATATGTAAATAAAGCACTGAAATTAGAAAACTTGAGATATGTAGTTTTTCATGTTTGCCACAGATTTATTCTTAAATAAAATAATAGAAACAATATTTAGTTAGTTTGAAGAGAGGATGTATACGCATTAGAGTGTTACAAAAAAACGATTAAGATTTGCCTGTCCCTCTTTTGCTCAAATTTTGCCATTTTCACAATGTCTGGTTATTTTTTAACTTTAAGATATATTGACAGTTCTCATACAAAAATTGACTTAACTAGAGGAAGAAGTTTAGTCCTTTTTGGGTGTAAAAGGGTTTTTGGTACTTTTTTTTAGCACATTAAGAAATCATTTTCGACTTATTGACGTATACCTATTAAATTATGTACTAATTCTGTAATATTTATTGAAACAAAATATTTGCTATTTCACTAGGGAAAAAAGTACCAAAAAGGTGAAAACGGGAAATTTTATTTGAGCCAAATTTTATAAAATTTTAACAAATAGTTAATTTACTCATACAAAATAAGCT